AAGATAGTACCAATAGTAATAGGTGCCTTGGGTGCAATCCCAAAACATCTGGAGCACCACTTGAACCATCAGCATTGACAAAATCACCATTGGTCAATTGCAAAAGGCAGCTTTACTTGGAACAGCTTACATCCTGCAAGGATACCTTTAACACCATCAAATAATAACATCTGCCTATCCCAAGTCCTTGGGAAGGACTGTCTAGGCGAATAAAATGCCAAATCCAGTCTAAACAACTGGCTGATTGTGTGACTAATAGTAGTAGTAGTAGTAGTAATAATAATAATAATAATTTTTTAAAAAAACCTCACAGATAACCCCATCTGCAGATAAGCTGAACCCAATTTTTGGGGTGTATTTTGGCACCTAAAATTCTCAGCTTATTTACAAATATATACGGTACTCGTATAAATGCAACCTAACTGCCTTTGAGTCCGTGTTGACTCCTGCTGAGTGCCTAGGCAAATCCGTGCCGTTTTCTTGGCAGGAATTTCAGAAGTGTTTTGCCCTTGCCGTCTTCCTGGGGCTGAGAGAGAGAGTGACTGGCTCCAAGTCACCCAGCTGGCTTTGGGACTAGAACTCACAGTCTTTATTGTAAGGTTACGGTAACAGAATCTTGCAAGATTGAAAGCCCTTCTCCCCTCCCGTATTTTTATTCTCCTAAAAACTAGGGCAGGACCCTTCTGAGACCCTTCCCACACCCCTTTCCTTCTGTGGGCTGAGATATCTTTTGAATGACAGTTGTCTAGGCTGCGGTTCTTCCTCCTGTCTCCCAAGTCATTCCCACACACCGTTACGCTGCCGTGGCTGGTTTCTTCTTCCTAGGGCCAGAAAAACTGGCCCAACATCGCCCAGCTGGCTTTGTGCCTAAGGCAGGACCAGACCTCATGGTCTCCTGGTTTCTATCCTGGGGCCTTAACCGCTGCCCCAAGCGGGCCCTCAAACTGGCACCCCCAATGGATGATTCCGGAGACCCACCCTTGCTTGGAGTCTATTTCCTCCACCCCATCAGGCTCCCCTTCAAAGCCTCCCTTCTCCCCTTTCTCCACGTCTTCCGCCTACAATTCCTTAGTCCAAGGCTGGATGCCCACCAACGCCTCCCTTCACCCCCGACCCGCAAGGAATGACGGGAAGGCCGCTCGTCTTGCCCGCCGGGAGGGTGCCACCGGCTCCC